ACTAAGAAGAATATATGCAGTGTATTATTTGTTGAAACTGTACTTCCGATTTGATTTGAAACTGTCTCATTGCTATCTGTTTATCAATAAAACTTTGGAAAAAAAAAAAACAAAAACCAAAAGTGTTCATATCAGTAAAACATATAGACAACATAAAATCTTAAATAAAATATTCTTTAATTATTGAAGACATAAAATTAGGCAAAGCTTATGATCCAGAGGCAATTCAATCTGGGAGGCAGGGGGACCTATGATCACACTGTTATATTTACAATGGTCTACCTTTTCATCACTATGTATTTTAATATTCAGTTTAAACAAACGTTGACTCTATCAGAATTACCACTAATTGAAATAACAACTTTTGTTATTCAAAAGGATGGCAATAATGGTAGAATCACTAGCAACAGGCATATTCACATTTCCAGCCTTGTGAATTCCTTTTACCCACCTGAAGAGGTCTCCAAATTTACTTCTGAGGTGGCTACATGACACATAAAGATCATAGAGGTAGGCTAAGATGCATCTTTCGGGGGAGGAGCATTCTGAGGGGTTTACAACATGCTTTACCACACCACACAACCTGAGGGCAGAAACACAGAGAGAATGAGCCGCATGTCCTGAGAACCACATGCTACCATCTGAATCTATTATAGGTAGGAGTGTCTATGTATTACTGAAGATCTTAATAATACAAGGGAATATAGAATATACTGAAATGCTAGATTTAAAGTCTTAGAAATATCACTGACAGCAACAAACAGAAGCAGTGAAAGATGCTCTTTTGCACAAATGGCTTGTGTTCACGGGGGCATGCACTAATTAAGTTGCTGTGAACAGGACACAGAAGGAAAGGGGAAGTACAGAAACTTATTCTAGTGGGAAGATTCAGAAATTCACAATTATTTTTCAAGATATCCAAATTCCAAGAACCTTTTGTAAAGAAACAACTTTTCAAAAAATGGAAATTAGTCAAATTCATTTTCAAGAGCTGATTCTGAGTTAGGTTTGATGAACTCTGGTTTGGAGTTATATTTCATTCATTTACCTAAAGTAGAAACAAATTTACCTTAGTTTATCTTATCTAGGGAGGTAAAGCCACTTCTTTTTAGTGACATTCTCTATAACTCACTTAGATGAGAGGAATAACTATTACTACAGTTCTGAGCCATCTTCCCCAATGAGGACTACAGCATCTGCCCACAGGTCATACAACACTGCACAGGCCTAACATGCCTGAGTCTGTGTCCACCACCATCCTAGAGCCTCATAGCATAACACTACCTTAAAGGTGACATAGAAAATTCATATTAGTAACTAGGAACAGGGCTTTAGAAATCATGGCTCCTCATAGTCACTGTTCACAGAGGGTTATGAGGCACAGAAAAGTGCAGCGACTTATGCAACAGCAAAGAGAATCAGGAGTTTAGGTCACCCGGCCCCCACATGAGCTTCTCTTCACCATGCAGGGGACACAAAAAAGCAGGAAAGTACCAGGTGTCAAAAGTGGATACCAGAAATTACATGAAGACAGAGCAGCCTAGCATTCCACGCCCTGGGAAGGAGCATCAGGTGGGGCTGCCTGGCAGCACACTAAAGCTACCAACTGGAGCCAACGTGTTAACGTAATTAGAAAAGGAGTAGGCTGGAGATGCAGCTCAGTGGAAGAGTGCTTGCTAACGATATGTAGGACATCACCACGGAGAAAGAGAAAAAGACAGGGAGGGAGAGGAGGAAGGGAAAGAAGAGAGGGAGGGAGAAGAGGAGAGGCAGGCAGGCAGGCAGGCAGGCAGGCAGGCAAAAATACGCATATACACAGGATAGCTTGGGTAACTGTACTGCTGATTTTTACTGGTCTATTGAAAGAAACAATTACTGCTAATTTTTTTCTTCTTTTTATTTTTATTTTTTTGACCAATTCAGCGTGTTTATATCTGATAATCTGAACAACTAATCTGAAGACAACAATATGCACTATAACAACCATAGCTGAATTCCTATCATTTTTGTTTAGTTAAGTTCTTTACAGCTTTTAATGTTTTTTTATATTTTTATTTGCTTAAAAAAAAAGTTTGTACTATAATCCTATACACTCATTCACATGAAGTACCAAAAACAAAACAGAAAAAACTTGTCATAATTCAATAAATTGATAACCTGGCCAATTAATGGGTTTTCATAAATTATTCTAAAAGTACAGTGTAAGCTAAGCAGCATGCATGAAATCCCAGCTGGAAAAGCTCCTGTAACACTCTATTACATTTACTGGCTAGGCAATGCTGTATCCACTTCACAACCACACACTTCATTTACAAAGTCTGAATCTTAACTTTCTTCAACCTTACAAAGACGCTACTGCATTTCCTTAATTGTATGATATATATTTTCACGTTTCTGAGTATTTCAGATTTCACTTTCTAATCCATGAGTGTAATTAATACCTGTGTGTGATAATACTTTGTTTTCCTAAAAGCTGCTGTCAAGAGAGGGCACTTGAGGAATAACAAGTAATCTAGTTATAGGTACTAGATGCGCTATGAAATCACAGATCCCCAAGATTCTTTTGAGCCCTAAAGGAAAAAAATGGATGAAAAGGACAAACAGGTTTTTGCTGTTTTTGTTGTTTATCCCCCTTCTCAACAGAACACCGCAGGGAAAAGGTGAAAGGGTGGACAAAAGTGCGCAGTGTTAGAACCCGCTCTGAGAAAATTATTTGTTCTAATTTGCCTATTGTCAAAGTTATTAATCAAAAAATATAAACTCAAAGAACCAAATTACTATGATGAGATGTGCAGAGCTTATTTGATATTCGATTTTCCAAATCTCAACTTAAATTACATGAACAGAGAAGTTATAAATATTCATTAGTTACAGTAAGCCAAGATACTGGGCAACATCAATAACAGATCGTACATGATCGGCTTTGTACACTGAGAAGCCAGTGGTGGGAGGGAAGGAAGGAAGGAAGGAAAGAAGGCATGATAATGAAGAAAAGTTACTTATGTCGCCTCTGAGAACTGAAGATATTTAGCTATGTTTTTATTGAACGAGGTATCAGTGCTACTTTCCTCTTAAAACCACTACCATATTTTACCACATAAATTATAAATCCTAGAACTAGAAGCATGACAATGGTATTTCATGTACCAACCCTTCAAACACTTGGGCTGTCTGATCGGGATTTAGGATCAGGCAGCTGTGATACCGCCTGAGAACAGCCACGATGCACACACACAGGCCTGTCGTGTAGCTCCCTGCCAGGCTGGAGGATTTTAGCAGCAGCTCAGCTTCCACGACGCTCAGTTCATTTAGTAACTGCAACAGAAAAGACTGAATAAAAACGATGTCAAAGCACACAGGAAGAACACACTTCTACAAACTGTTAATGTGCCGTCACTTGGTACATGACAGCCTCAGAAAATACAAACGAGCAAAGGAAAGGTTTATTTTTACGCCTCTACCAATGAGCACACTTGTTCTGTCTAGACATCAGGCTGTGCATAGGCAGGAAGTGCCCAGTGCCAAAATAGGTACCGAAACTTCACGGCAGGCCAGGGCTCTAGACAGAATAATTTTAGACAACAACCCCTGCCCTTCACTTTTTTGCCCTTGTTCCTCTTATTTCTGATAAAAATGCAAGTTGTTGTGGAAACCAAGCCTAATACCTAAAACAGCACAAGCAAACAACTCAAATGTGCACAGGACTGTAGTGGGAAAAATTAAACTATGTGAGCTTTTTAAAATTTCAGCCTAAAATATACTCTAGTCAAGAGAGAAAAGCATCTTTCATTGCTACTTGTGCAAAATAATAAAGACAATAAAATAGTCAAAAATCTTGTATTTTTCAATAACATATTTTAGCAACAATTATTATTTAATTGCAAACTAAGAACATAGGTATAATTAAAATAATAGCTGTAGACTGTTAACTCAGAAGGACTCAATTTTGAAAACATTATTAGTTCTTTCAATGGCACGATAGTTACCAGGGCTGGGGGGGGCGGGGGCGGTGCGGATGGGGAAACTGGCCAGCAGGTCTAAGTTAGAAGCGAAAGCTCTGCTGTGCTGTGGCACAAGAGGGTAACTGTATTAGTAATGATAATCTACTATACATTTCCAAATGAAAACATTGTGAAAGTTTTCATTATAAGCATCCTACATAAATGAAAAATGAGGGAGCTATGTTTACTTCACATAAATATTATTCAACATATATGTATGGAAGCACATGGTGCTCAATGAATATGTGTAAGTTTGAGGTTTTCATGTCTATTAAAAAACAAATTTAAACAGGGTATGGTAGCAAGTGCTAATAGTCCTAGCATTTAGGAGGCTGAGGCAGGAGGAAGAGACTAAAAGCAACAGTTTAGGAGCAACCTGACAACACAGGGAAACCCCATTTTAAAAATAAATAAATGAGTAAATTTTTTTTAATTTTTCAAAAAAAAAAATCCCTGAGCAGATTCCATCATGTGTGGTAGTTTGCGTTAAGCAGCCTACACACCTGTATGGCGAAGTCAATTAGTCCATTGATGTTCAGTGCTGGCTCCATGAGGTCGAAGATGAGCTGGATGTGGTGGGCCAGCGGGAGGTGGTAGGATGTGCCCGACGCGAAGCTCGTGATCTGCCCGAGCACGTTGCTAGAGATCTGCGGGGGTGCACGGAGGCCAGTTACGTGGCGGCGGCACTCTAAGGTCCTGCCTGTGCTTAGCAAGCTAATTTAGGCTTCCAAGCACAGTGTCTGAATGCATCTATGAGTCCATTTGTACAAAAGTTAAAATATCTTTTCAAAGAAATCAAAACTGTGCACGAATCACTTAGGAGTAATTGGGAAAAAATATGAGAAATTTGCCATTAAGATGTAGCTCTCAATCCCCAGTACCGCAAAACGAGAAAAAACAAGATGTAGATCTTAGCGATTCTAAATGTTTAACAACTATAGGAGTTAATTTTTAGATGTATTAAATCTTTACTGAATTTATAACAAAAATGTTTACCCCGATTTCACAGTATTGTATTTCAATTCTCAACAGACTTATTCCTCCTCAACAATGACATATGACCAACACATAATAACACAAGCATCCCACTAGGAATTATTTTATATACTGCAATTATCATAAGGTAAAAATGTTTACATAATAAAAACAAATTCTTAAGGGGACAATGTGACCCTTAAAAGTAGTATGAAAACTGTTTCAAATACTAAAAAATGTATTTATAAAATTAACTAAGGCTAAAAATGTAGTGCATGGAAGATCTGAGAGGAAACAAAAAGGCAATAGAGACAGAATTCACAAGTCAGCATGGCTACCTGAGATGTCACTTGATGCTGATCGAAATAGGAAAGGAGCTGGAGTTTTGTGAAGACAGCCTCCAGGGTTGGAAACGATTCTTGCTTGTTCTTCTTGGCCTTTGGCCCTTCATCCCCACCTAAATGAACATAAACAAATGTGGGGTTTTTTTTCTATTTAAGTGAAGATCTTTACATTTTAAAAGATAATTTTTATTAAAGTATAACATACATGGAAAGAGCATGTGCACTCCGAGGACCCACGAATGTAATGATGTTATCACAACACAGCATCCCAGAGTCCCATTTCGCCTCCCTTTCCTCACAGCGGACCAAGATCCTGAGTTCTTATACTTAGAACAGTGACACCAACTTAAGAACGTTATATAATTTAGTCATACAGATTATAATTTTCATATATGGCATCTCTGTGCAAGACAGGCATTTTTGTGTGCGTACAGCTGAGCATGAAAGCCCGGGGCGCTGAGTAACTGACCCCTGAGCTACCTCGCTAGCCTTCTTTTTGTTTAGTTTTATTTTTGGAGGCAGAGTCTCACTAATTTGCCTGGATTGGACTCAAATTTACCCATTCCCCCTTTCAGTCTTCCTAGTGTCAGGGGTTAAAGGCATGCACTACTATTCCCAGCCACATTATGCTTTCAAGTTTGACTCATTTTTGTGCTTAGGAGTACAACGCAGTAGTAGTATAGCTCAGTAGTAGAGTACTTGTATCCAAACATCTGAGGAATTAGGTTCAATTCCTGGCACTACATCAGAAAAAAAAAAAACGAAAACCAAAACAAACAAACAAAAAGCCCTAATGGCTTGCTGATGTAATTTTGATCTGCTACAAAACTCAGTAATTCTAACCGATGTACAGTATTATAATGTGTATCTATACACTGGTTTATTTTCCTTTCTCATAAGTGTCCAAAATTTGTCTATCTTGCAAGTGCCTTCACCATTACATGACATAAAACATATAAAAACATCAGTTGCGCCTGATGGTGTACTCCTGCAATCTCAGCAATTGGTAGGCTGAGGCAGAGGGATTGTCATGAGCTCAAGGCCAGCCTGCACTACATAGTGAGTTTAAGGTTGGTCTGAACCACAAAGCAAGAAGACCCTGTTAAGGGAAAAAAAAAAAAAAAAAAGAAGGGAAAGGAATCCCTCAGTCCCACTTTGATACAACAGGCTCCCTCACTGGCCTCATTTTGCTGGGGCAGGAGGTAGAGTGAGGGAGGAAATTTTCACTGCCCTGAAGCACAGCTCTCTAGCTTCTGGTGTACACACTAAGTTTTAAATTGTGAGTTAAAATTAATACAATGCATTGCCCAGAATGTAGCTCAGTACATCTTAAAACCTTTCTGGCTGAGGGTTTTTATCTAAAATGAAGGAAAGGAGGGCCAGCCAAATAGCTCAGCAGATTAAAGCACCTGCAAGTAGGCATACAGGCCGGGGGTTTGATCCCCAGGCCTGCCCTGCTGGCTCTGCCCCCTGGGGCACGCTGAGACAGCAACTGAGACTGGGTGTGGTGGCGCACACCTGTAATCCCAGCTCTTGGGAAGCTGTAAATAGGCGAGTCACTACGAGTCAAGTCAGACCTAGTAGTAGGATCCTGAACACACTGTAGACCCTTCCCTAAAATACAAAGAAAGAAAGAAAGAAAGAAAGAAAGAAAGAAAGAAAGAAAGAAAGAAAGAAAGAAAGAGTACTATGAATAACCACTATGAAGACAACAATATGCAATGTATTAATTATTGAAACTGTCCTATTAATTGGTTTTGAAGCTGTCTCATTGCTATTTGTTTCTCAATAAAATTAATTTAAAAAAAAAGGCAGAAAATTCTTTGAAAGCACTGCCCTAAAATGAGGGCAACTTACCTCCATACCTACCTAAACTGGTTTAATTTGTAAAAGAGAAATTTACATGATGCCTAATGTTTTTAAGGACAGTAAGAAATTAAGCCACTTTACATTAAAGGGAAAGTACTATACAGTTAGCATAATTGAAGAGAATTCCAGAGGAAATATCACATTACTTTTTTTTGAAGGGACTCTTTGTTCTTAACAGCAATGAGATCTAACTGAAGACTCACTCCTACTATAAAATATCTTACTGTATTTACAGAGACAAACCCAAAAACCGAGGCAAGGAGTGACTGCATGTCTCGAAGGCTGCTCCCAGCACTGCACATCCCAGGTAGGTGCACAGCACCCTCTCAGGGGCCTGCCCCTCAGCCTGTCTTCTCTGGAGGGGAAGTTTAATTTTTGAGAATAAATTTCTCTTTACAGATTTTTCTACTAAAGACAGAAGAAATGAGCACAACGTCACTAAACTAAAATACATTTTGCCAATGGAAAAAGAAATGCTTTTAGAAAATAATATTAAAAGAAAAGAGACTTTGCTTTCAACAATAAGCAATTGATATGTAAAACCCAACATAAAATATGGGGCTGAGGAGATGGCTCAGTAGAATAAGCGCTTGCCTGGCAAGCGCAAGGGCCTGAGTTCAATCCCCAGTTCCACAAAAAAAAAAAAAAAAAAAAAAAGGTCACTATATTCCAAAATAAACAAATGTCAACACCAGGATTAAGAGGGGTGAGATAGAAAATGTCCAAGAGCTTGAGCAATGTGGTGGATCCAATGGCTTGTCTGGATCGCTACACGGTGGATGGCTTCTGCTACTTTCTCCTTCAGCAGGGCATGCCCACCTGGGACTGTGAGTACTACGATGAGAAGGTGGTTAAGCTGCTAGACTCCGAGCTGGCAGATGCCCTCGGAGGCCTTCTGAATCGATGCACTGCCAGCAGAATCAATCCTGTGGGTACCTATCCAGCCTTCTGCACTGCCTGCTTCCCCAGGGAGCCAGGGTCACAGGGGCTGGCCGTTCGCGCCCAGCC